TACAGTAACGGTATTTTATTTCATCAGTAAAACTAAAACATAAAGTCATAGAATTTATCATCGGGAGGAAAGTCAAAGACTTACTAAGGAAAAGATAACTACGTTTACAAGTAAAAAAATAAATAATGATTCATTTCAAAAGAGAAACTTCTCTATGGATTTATATATTTACTGTGTTGCGGTTAAAATAATATCACTAAAAACTTAATTTTCTCTACGAAACGCTCTCAAGAATATCTGTATACAAAGTCATAGAATTTATCATCGGGAGGAAAGTCAAAGATTTACTAAGGAAAAGATAACTACGTTTACAGGTAAAAAAATAAATAATGATTCATTTCAAAAGAGGAACTTCTCTATGGATTTATATATTTACTGTGTTGCGGTTCAAATATTATCACTAAAAACTTAAAACATCCTGTGTACATTCTTTGATCAACAAAATGCAGGTTATTCTTAGAAAAAAACGCCACGCAGAGGAATGATATTAACAATTATGCTAACTCTGTATAGAGGAATGATATTAACAATTATGCTACGAACTGGATTCGAACCTTCGTTCGGATTATCCCATTGGGTTACGGCTTTTTTTTTTTTTTTATTAACACATCAATAGAAACAGTTACTAACATAAAAAAAATAAAATAAAATCAGTGTAAAAATATCACAGTTTTTGTATAGTCAGTATTGTTAAAACTTAAGTGTAACTGAAGAATTATCATTAGAAAAATCCATAAAAACATTAAAGTTCATAAGGTTTATAAATTTGGCAAAACCGACCTTAAATAAAATACAATTCAACTGCTGAGTGAGAACCTTCAGAAAAAAGTTTATACAAATCAACTTCTCTGCTACATGAATTGAAATAGGTTGTTCTTTTAACAATAGCTAGTCTGACAGATGAAAACAAAATGATCAGAAAAGTATTATGTTCTGATTTCGAAACCGGGTAACCAAATAAAACCCAAGTTCTAAAATCCTTATTTTGAAACCCTACATTTAATAACAAAGTGGTGAGGATATCACAAATTTTATCTTTGAAAAATATAATTGAATCACAATCTAGTAAAAGATGTTGAAGTGATTCACTTGCATCATAGGAGCACATAGAGCAATAAGGGTTTGTAAGGATTTTCGTTAGATATTTTCTAGCATTTGTCCAAATGATATTGTGGACTATCCTAAAATCGTTATCAATCATCTCAGAGCTCTTGTAATTAAAAATGACACTCTTCCAGACTTTATTGCTATCAACCTCATGACCTATTCTCGACCAATAAGTATAGCAAGAAGGTTCCTTAAAAATAATAGCTCGTAATAGAGAATATGATTTCTTTGCCGAACATGTCGTTACACTAGTAGTCAGAGCATTATTGCTCTCAATATGAAAATCATCAAAAGGGACTATTCTCTTGCTAGTCGAGCAGATCAACTCTTGCCAGTTCTTCGGTAAAGCATCACATATTTCTGCAAAGGACGATATGACCTTAGTTGTATCAATTTCATGACACTCATCTTGGACCATTTCACAATTAGCCCCTGACCTTAAAAACCCTGGTATGACACAATAGATAACATCACAAATCTTGACCAAACCCGACATAATATAAATATTTTTAAGATCTAAAGTACGTTTGCATAGACTTATATGAGGGTTATCAAATATTGGCTGATTAACAACAAACATATACTCATTAGAAAAAGTACGTTCGGATTGATTCACAGTGTCCCATGCAATTAGTATTTCCTGGTGAAAATTTGGCAATTTTCTAAGTTCACATACATTGTAGTTTATGAACAACAGCTCAGAAGTAAGATTCATACATTGATACATTTTTAGGAAATACGACATAAAATCTTTCCAGGCACATTCCATCTCGACATTGAGATATTTTGAAAGCCAATTTAATCTGAAAGAATCTCGGCGAGTTTCAATGAACGGAATGTTAAGACCACCAGAATACCGTTCACCAATTACAGTCGTTTTCTTAATTAAATTAGGGCGACCTTTACCCCACAAAAAAGACGTGATAATTCTGTTGATATCTAAACATGCCCACTCAGGAATGCTTATGATTCTTAAGGGATACCAGAGTAAAGACAGACACAGTGAACGTCAAACTATCGATTTCCCTATGAGAGAAAGATCTCGCAATGTCCACAGATCAACAACACGTTTCATCTAAGAGATTTTCCCTTCCCAATTTTGACACTCACATAATAAACGATTTGGGCCAAGAAATATACTTAATATCAGCACAGAATCGGACAAAACCGTAAGTGGCATATTTAGATCAACATCCTGACAATGAGCAGAGCCAGCCAAAAGAAGTTCTGACTTCTCAACATTCACTTTGGCTCCGGATAAAGTACAATATTGTTCTATAGAAATAAAAGCTTCATTAACTGAATCAAAATCAGAGAGCGTCAATGTCATGTCATCGGCATGTTGATAAATGAGTGATGATCTACAAGTCAAAGGGATTGGAATGCCATGAATATCGGAATTTGACATGATAATGGCATTTAATGGTTCAACAGACAGTACATACAATAAAGCTGCAATCGGACACCCTTGCCTCACGGAGCGTAAAACTGGGAAAGAGAGAGATATATGACCATTGACCTTGACGCAGCTCTTAATATCAATGTTTAAGATCTTAACATACTTTAAAAATTTTGGACCAAAGCCCATGCACTCCATCACATTAAAAAGGTATTCATGAGAAACCATGTCAAAAGCCTTCTGAGAGTCGATTTTGAGGTGAAAAAGTGGTAGATCTTCAATATCAGCAAAGTCCAAAACATCTCGAATAGCACATACATTAAAGGCAATATCACGATGTTTGATCATTAGAAACTATAGATGATACGACAGACTTCAATCTTAAGGCCAAGGAACGCGACCAAATTTTATAGTCTACGTTCAAAAGACCTATTGGTCTATAGTTCTTTAAGTTATTCCGATCCCCCTTATTTTTGAAGAAAATTGATATCATACCACGCTTCATAGTTGATGATAAAGACTCTAACTCAATAATCGCACTCACAACTTTACAAAATATATCACCTAATTGATCCCAGAAGGTCAAAAAAAAAACTCCACCGTAAGGCCATCAGGACCAGGAGATTTATTTCTGGACATGCCGCTGAGAGCCTGAAACAGTTCATCCTTAGAAAAAACACTTTCACAAAAATCAACATCTGGTTGGTCCAGGCGTGAGGTACAGAATGGTTCAATTGCAGACTTATCAGCGCGGACATATTTATCCTTGGCGTAAAGATTTTTATAAAAACACTTTGTAACTTCTAACATTCCAAAGCTGTCACTAACCGTTTCATTATTAAGATCGAGAATTTCTTTAATAAATTGGGATTCTTTCTTTTGCTTCTCCAGGCGAAGAAAATACGAAGTACATCTGTCCGAATCTAAGGAGTCACGAACACGAGATCTGATTATGGCACCATCACAAATATTTGACTCGTATTCGGCAAGCTCTGATTCAAGATCAGCAAGTAGGACACTATCATAATTCAGGTTCCTACCAGCACGATTGTAAATAGTCCCAAGGCGCCTTTGAAGGACCCAATAGTAATCCTTTTGTTTCGCGCGCCGAGCTGAAGCGTAAGTAATTGTATCCTTCTTTAAACGATACTTGAGATTATCCCACCATAAAAGAATGTCTGTACCGAAGAGAGGACACTGTAAAGCATCACTAATTATCCTCCCTATCCACCCCTTGTAGTCAATATAAGATAACAGGGAATTGTTAAGGGCCCAAATTCCGGGCCGCGATCATTGGATTTAAAGTTAAGATACACAGAGACAAAACAATGATCACTTAGAGTTGTGCAGAATAAAGACGAATTACTCAGGTATTTCTCGAGGTCATGCGAAACAAGGATATAATCGATTCTAGACTGCTTTAGCACACCATTAACAACTTGACGTCTGGTGAAGCCATGGCCGTCCTTGTGAAAGTAGCACCAACAATCAGTTAGGTTTGTTGTTTCAACGACGACAGTAAACACCATGAGAGGCCATTGTAGATGACCTATCTATTCGTGAGTCGACAACATCATTAAAATCGCCGCATAACATAACTGATCCTCAATTTGATATTTTATCTTCACACCACGCTCGACCGGATCATTAGGAGCATAGCAGCACAGTAAATCCAATTGGACATCATTTAATTGCAAATGGCAATGGATAAATCTCCCTCGAGGATCGGCTTCAACTTTTGAAACACATTTTTCAAAACCTTTGGAAACTAAAACTGCATATCCACGACGCTTTGAAGATCCATCACACGAGTACAAAATTGACCCATCCCACAAATGTTTATAAATATCAACAAAATCAGGATCCCAAAATGTCTCTTGTAAACATAAAATCCCAATCGATTTGGATTTGGCAAAAGCAATCAATTTCTCAAAGTTTTGTAAAGACCGAAGTCCACCAACATTTATAGATTGTATTAGCATTATTGTTAAAAAAAGAAACAAGGACACAATCTTTAATCAACATTGTTAGATTTTTTCCGTTTTCCAACTCTAGGACGCTTCTCTAGTGTATTCATTTTCTTCTTAATAGCAGTCATAGATATATTTGAAGACTTTAAGTGTAATTTCGAATCACTACAATTAGACAAGCTGAAACCTTGTTTTTTCTCATATAAATCCGACCCAACTTCGATATCATCGACATCTTGCCCCTTTTTACCCTTTTGACCGGTCTTGGCCCCTTTATCATAATCACCATCATTATCAACATCATCATCATCATCATCATCTTCATCATCATCATTATCATCTAGCATTCCAACAGAACCATCACTACCTTCAGAACATCCATCAACACAGTCCAAAACATCGACCTCAAGGGTAGTAAGTGAAACATTATAGCAAGTTTCAGACTCCTTATGTTGGGTCGAGAGATTACGCTTAGTTTCATTCAGTACATCAGTTTCTCCTAATGACCAAACTGCAGCAGGGGGACATTCGCAATTTGGAAAACTATTTGTACAACTATCGCAGCTAAGAACAGGGCAGTAGCGCTGAATTTGACCATTCTTCTGACACCGACGACAAACCCTTTCTGGGCACTTGACAGCAATATGTCCAGGTGACAAACAATAATAGCACACCTTCTCCTGATGATCGTGGCGAACATTGTAGTAGTCCACACCCGATTCAGTCTGGAACCCAACTGAATATGGGAGAGAAGAGACATCCGAAGGAAATTTGACGCGCATGAATCGAGTTCCATCATAGACTCCATCATTCACATATCTTCTTCTCTTAATTGGACCAATTAATTCCACTCGCCACAATTTCAATTTGGCTTCGATTTCTTCGTCAGAAATAAGGCCAGACAAATGCATAAATGATACAACTTTGATTTTTGAAGATACATGTTGAACAGAAACAGGTTCATCAGCTATAAAGAAATCATCATTTACCAGTTTTTTAGCAGATTCAATATCCGTGAGTGAAACTTCATAAGTATCATCATTTTTAGGAATACACGACAGGATCGCGTCGTCCCCACAAACCTCACGAACAGCTTCAATAACATGAGAGGCGGGGGTTTCAATACGATTCTTGACAGAAATAAACACAGTTGATTCCTTCAAGAAGATCGGATTCAGGAATCGTTTAGAGTTAATTTGCGTTCGAAAATTGGCCATAGGTTTTGATTGTTTTTCGGCCATTTTCAAAACAGCGAGACAAAAATGTCTCAAAGTCAACAAAAAGAACACTTTTTCGCAAACAGTTTACATAATTACGATAATAAATCATATACCTAAGAAAATAACAAAAGGTTCATACCGGAATTTCAGGAGAACACTCAAAAAACCAACAAATTTGACGAGCTAACTGAAACCGTGTAATGTAAACAAACACAATCGAAACTTTTCCAGCTTTACCACTGGTCTATCTTGGCTCGGTCTATTTCGGCTAAAATTAGCAATGACTCCAACTCTTTAATCTGAGAAACCAGACTATGAGAAAAACTAGAACACTTGCAGAAGTGTCTTGTTGAAATTCAACTACAAGTTCAGCACTTGGATATTCCAATATGTCAGATTTATTCAGGCCACTTCCCTTAGATATCGTCGATGATATAGATCAATTTGCAATCAGTATACAAAATATAGTGATATGTATTTACGAAAAATGCCACTACGAGCAGGATTTGAACCTGCGCGGGATTATCCCATTGGATTTCGAGTCCAACGCCTTAACCACTCGGCCATCGCAGCTGGGACATTTCCGGTCCAATAAAGCAAGGGCCTCATACTTTTCATATGCGATATATAAAGCGATGAGAAAAACTAGAACACGTGCAGAAGTGTCTTGTTGAAATTCAACTACATGTTCAGCACTTGGATATTCCAATGTGTCAGATTTATTCAGGCCACTTCCCTTAGATATCGTCGATGATATAGATCAATTTGCAATCAGTATATAAAATATAGTGATATGTATTTACGAAAAATACCGCTACGAGCAGGATTTGAACCTGCGCGGGAATATCTCATTGGATTTCGAGTCCAACGCCTTAACCACTCGGCCATCGCAGCTGGGACTTTCGCGGTCAAATAAAGCAAGGGCCTCAAACTTTTCATATCCAATATATAAAGCGAAAAGTTTACAGTAAGGGTATTTTATTTCATCAGTAAAACTAAAACATAACAGTAAAACATAACAGTAACAAAATATTCGAGTTCAACACCCTCTGTGAAGCTCACAGAATTCCATACTGAAACTTTGTATGGTTAGATCAAATTCTTCTGTAATTAAGTTGTTCCCATGTCTTCTCCTGATAGATCCGAAATGATACCATTTACACAATCTTGTATTTCATTCCACCTCTTATCACGGAAGGATTGAACCAGACTAGCCCTTCTAAATAGGACTCTGGAATTAAGAATTGTATATTAGTAATGGAAATACCTAAAATTTCTTTTATCGAACACGGTTGGATTGATAGATAACCTATCTAAATGTTTGTGGTTGAAAAAGTCAAGGTTTTACCTATTTTTCTGAGTTGTTGGACAGAAAAGTCGTGGCTTTTCAAAAGAGAGCGAAGTTTGATGGCTGCAGCAAGAGTGTCCATTTGATATTGTTGTTGGAATTGAATGGGCAAGTTTGCAATAAGATTACAGAATATCTATTTGAAATTAAATGTTTTCGTTTATATATTACAAACTTAATCTGAACGAACTCAGATTTTATCCCAAAAAATAAATCTAATCAAGAGCCTAATCGGTTTGTTTGATCGTCAGCCCAATAAAGATACCGCATTGACGGTAAATTTGTTAATCTTTGTAAACTAATCACATTTCCGAAACCATGTTTTGATAACCTGTGAAGCCATTCATATGGAAAAAAGACGCGAACATCAGTCGTAATTAGTTTAGACTTAGATTCTCTCCGAAACGCTCTCAAGAATATCTGTATACAAAGTCATAGAATTTATCATAGGGAAGAAAGTCAAAGATTTACTAAGGAAAAGATAACTACGTTTACAGGTAAAAAAATAAATAATGATTCATTTCAAAAGAGGAACTTCTCTATGGATTTATATATTTACTGGGTTGCGGTTAAAATATTATCACTAAAAACATCCTGTGTACATTGTTTGATCAACAAAATGCAGGCTATTCTTAGAAAAAAACGCCACGTAGAGGAATGATATTAACAATTATGCTAACTCTGTATAGAGGAATGATATTAACAATTATGCTACGAACCGGATTCAAACCTTCGTTCGGATTATCCCATTGGGTTACGGCTTAACCACTGGTCTATCTTGGCTCGGTCTTTTTCGGCTAAAATTAGTAATGACTCCAACTCTTTAATCTGAGAAACCAGACTAGGAGAAAAACTAGAACACGTGCAGAAGTGTCTTGTTGAAATTCAACTACAAGTTCAGCACTTGGGTATTCCAATATGTTAGATTTATTCAGGCCACTTCCCTTAGATATCGTCGATGATATAGATCAATTTGCAATCAGTATATAAAATATAGTGATATGTATTTACGAAAAATACCGCTACGAGCAGGATTTGAACCTGCGCGGGAATATCTCATTGGATTTCGAGTCTAACGCCTTAACCAATCGGCCATCGCAGCTGGGACTTTCGCGGTCAAATAAAGCAAGGGCCTCAAACTTTTAATATCCAATATATAAAGCGATAAGTTTACAACA